CTGCTGGGAGCAATATGGCAATATAATTCAGCTCAACTCAGAGAGAGAGAGAGAGAGAGAGAAAGAGAGAGAGAGAGACAGAGAGAGACAGAGACAGAGACAGAGAGAGAGAAAGAGAGAGAGAGAGACAGAGAGAGAGAGAGAGAGACAGAGAGAGAGAGAGAGAGAGAGAGAAAGAGAGAGAGAGAGACAGAGAGAGAGAGAGAGAGAGAGAGAGAGAGAGAGACAGAGAGAGAGAGAGAGAAAGAGAGAGAGAGAGAGAGAGAGAGAGAGAGAGAGAGAGAGAGAGAGAGAGAGAGAGAGAGAGAGAGTTCTGGATCTCAGCCAAGGGGAAACTCCCTGAAGTTGCTAGCATAGCAAGCTAGGGATAGGGACATGATGGAGTCTGCAAGCTCCTCTCATGTCTTCCCACAGTCTTTTACTTGAGCAACCTTGAGTTCAGTTGATCTCTTCCATTTTCCCTCTCAAAGCTGGAAGATAGAGCATGTGAAGCTTTAACAGTCCCAAAGAAGACTGTATGAGAGAACTCTTAACCTTACCAACTTTGTCTTGCCCCTCATATAGGGTTGAACATTCATCTCCACCAATAAGGACAGAGTCCCATAGCAATGGGCTTTGGGACAGCATGCATTCATGTTTAGCACTTTGATAACCTTAAAGCACTGAAGAGAACAGATGAGGGCTATTATTATAAGATTGTACATACCTGGCAGAAGAAAGGGAAAACACAAAGATTCATTATAGTGTACTATCTTGTTTTTGGAATATTTTTTCACATTTTTTTAATATTTGTTCTTAAAGAAGCTATTCTCATATACCTTTTTTCACCCTCCACGCTCCTTTTTCTTCCTTTATTATTGCATTTCTGAGTTCCTTTTTTACACTTTCCTGTTTAGTGACTCTGAGGTTTTCCCTTCTGCTTTCTCACATTTCAAAATCTGGTTTCATGTTGAAAAACTTTTGCCAAGGGAAATAACAAGAATCACGTAGCTCATTACACACTAAATTCTTTGTACATTTCTCCAGCTGAAAAGGGAGACTGCCTTGTATCCCACTCACCCATTTTCCTTGGAGATCCTAACTATGAATGAAAGAAGATGGCATTTAAACAAGCACTGATAAAGACAATGACAAATTGCCCTACAAGTACGCCTAGGTGGGCCCTTATTGCTTTCCTTTACAATAATTATACTTCCAAGTTTCCAACTACAGGCCAGGGAATATGTCAAATTTAATATGTCAAATTGTGTCCCATGAATCATCACTTCAGGCAATACGTCAAATTATGTTCTGTTAATCGTGACTCTAAAAGGAGAGATTTAGAAATGATCTCTAAGGTCTTCTCAATCTTAAATTCTATTACCTTATGAACCTTTCCAGACTCTCAAATCTTCATCACTAGCACTAGTCTTTTATGTTTGTTTTGTTTTGAGCTTTATCCTCTTTCTCTGCTGGGCAGCATGACCTGCATCCTCCCCTTGTCACTTTTAACCTCACTCAATGTGTTTAAAGTTAAATTCATTATTTTCCCTCTAGTTCTCTCCTTGGCAATTTCATTTATGCTAAAGGTATCATCATTCTCCCAGTTATGTGAACTTGAAATCTTGGGAGTCATTCTTTACTTTTCCTTATTTCTCCCCCATTATCTAATTAGTCACTAAGATTTCCGTTATTTTCTTTTTCTTCTCCTTAAAGCCTGTTTAATCAGTTCCCCTTTAATTGCATATTTACTGTCAAGACCTTACTCCAGGGCTTTATCATTCAAGCCTGGCCTACTATGGTAATTGTCTTTTACCAGATCTCTCTGCCTCCAATTTTCTCCATCTTTTCCCCCACCCTCATTTATTCTTCAATCAGTTGTTAATATTTTTAACACATTGAATTTTTTTGATCCAACCCCTACTACCACCACACTTGGAAGATAAATTAAGACTGCTTAGTCTGTCATGAAAGGGCTTCCACAGTATGCCCCTTTTCTATATCTTCAGTTTTAAAATAAATCCTCTACTATTGTCAAAATGGTCTCACTATTGCTCTTTGAAACACCATGTACAATCTCAATTTTGTACAATCTCAGCCGGGTTTCTCTTTCTCCTATTCCTCATTTATCTAAGTCTTACGCTTTTTCCAAGGTCTAAGTCAAATCTCACCTCCTAACAGAAGAGGTGACTGCCTCATATGGATGTCCTTTATGCCTTACACTTCCCTCCACACACTCTGTGATCCAGTAACACCAGCTTCCTTGCTGTTCCTTGAACAAGACACTCTATTTCTCTGTTTTCAGTGTTTTCACTCTGTCCCTCATGTCTAGAACTCTCTCCTTCATCTCTTCCTGGTGTCCTTTAAGTCTCATCTGAAGTCCCATCTTCCGCAGGAAGCTTTTCCCAATGCCACTTAATGCTTGTGCTTTCAAACCTTGATTGTCTCCAATTTATCCTGTCTTATGTTCCCTTAGTTGTTGGCATATTGTCTCCCCATTAGACTTGAGAGCAAGGACACTCTTTTACCTTTCTTTGCATCCCCACTGCTTAGTACATTGCCTGGCACATAGAAGGCATTTAATCAGACACATAACACTCACTAGCTGTGTGACTCTGGGCAAGTCACTTAACCCTAATTGCCTCATTTTTAAAAAAAGGCATTTAATATACTAGCTGAATTGACTAGACTATGTGAAAAAGTATATGCATTTTTCCATGCATATAGTAGGCACTAAATGCTAGGTGATTGTCCTAACTACTTGTTTGTACAACTTATTTGGTGGCTCCTTCTCCTTCTTATATATCCTTACGTATACTGTGAGTTCTTGAAGGAAAGAATGGTGTTCTAAGCTTTTAATTCCCAATGTTCAGCGTATTGCCTTAGGTCTATAATAGCTCTTCAGTAAAATATTAGCTGAGGATACTTACAGGATACTTAATTAGCATTAATTTATATTTGACTTATAAAATGTCCAGTGTATTTTCTATAAAATGAAACTTGTTCAAGGAAACTTTGGTTTTTAGTAATGCTAAAGTATCATCTCAAAACTTAAGGATTTTATACAATTAGATCCACTTATGATGCTGGTGTCAAAAGATTGAAATAACCAAACCACTTTATAGGTTGGGGCTCAGCTGTGTGTGTGTGTGTGTGTGTGTGTGTGAGATGGACTCCCTTCAGCAGTCTGGTGAATGTTTTAAATGCATAAAATTACAAAGTAAAGTAATTACACTGAAATAGTTATCAAAATATCAAGAAAATTAAATGTATGAGCCTTCTAAAATCTATATATTTACCCCATGTTAAGAATTGATGTAGTTGCCAAAGGTTTCACTTTTTTGGAGTAGATGGGTATAATTCCATCATTGGCATAAGTAAATTTGTCCATTATGACAAGCAGATATAGTTTAATTTTATAACTTTTTTTTGTAGGAAAGGTAGTGTCTGGGTATTTCTGAGACTCTGCAAGTATATAGCTGGTATTTCGTTGCTCCTGAATGCTGAGGTTAATCCTTAATCCTTGGGTTTGGCTCATAAGTAGGTAGTAGGTAGGGCAGGTGTGCCTGAAGATATTGGGTGTCACCTTTGTAACAATGTACTTTCCATAAAGGCAGTCCAGGTGAGTGCCAGGGTTGCTGGGCCTTCCCACCCAGGCCCTACCCAAGCCCTTGCCTCTTCTGAAATTTGCTTTTCCTAGGGCAAGCATCTAGAGGACTCTTAAGGTCTTCCACAAACTTCCCAAGTAGGGTTGGTTAAAAACTGAAATCTCTATTTAGGGGATCAAAGAACGTTGGCCCTGAAAATGATCTAGTCCAATCCCCTCGTTTTGCAGATGAGAAAAAGGAAGTCCAGAGAAGGGAGATGAGAGGCTGAGTCCATAAACATTTATTAAATAACTATTCTGTGCCAGGCACTGGGCTAAGCTCTGGGGATACAGAGAAAGGCAATTGCCGACCAGTCCCTGCTCTCCAGAAGTTCATACTGTAATGGGGGAGACAACATACCAACAAATTTACACAAACAAGCAATATACAGGATAAGTTGGAGACAATGAGGAAGGGAGTAGAATTAAGGGGGAAATCAGGTAAAGCTTCCTGTAGAAAGTTGAATTTCAGCGGAGACTTGAAGGAATTCAGGGAAGCCCGGAGGCGTAGATGAGGATGGAGAAGTGTGGTCTCCTAATTGCCAGCTCCTGAACAAACGTTAGTGGAACTGTATTGCACCCTCTGCACCACCGCAGGCATTTTTGTGCCTGCTTTGAGTCTCGCTTTCTCTACTGAAACACTCAGCCTGCTTTCATCAGCTAACTTTCCTTTTCTACTCGCGGTCCTCGCCCTCCTCCTCTCCCTCCTCCCTCCCCTTCTCCTTCAGGAATGCTCGGGAATCCTGCGCACGCGCAGTGCCGGAAACCACCCCATGTCACCCACCTCCCCCTAGGTCTCCTCACTCTCAGGAATGAGGATATGCACGGTCTATAATGCGCTTGCGCAGTCGTTTGAGGATTCCCTTGCCTCGGCTCCTGCACTCTGGACCACTCTCTTCTCTGGGCTCTTCTCATCACTCCGCCCCTTGCTCATTGCCCTCCTACCCCGCCCCACTTCCAGCTTCAGCTGTACGTTGTGAATCAATAAAGCTTTCGACAAGGAATTCTTCCGTAGCTAGGCAGTGGTCGCCGTCGCCATGGGTGTGTGTTGTGTGTACGAGACGGCTGCCAATAAAGTTGTAGCTCTCGGGCTTCCTCCGCCCTCCCCATTCTCTCTCGGCCTCCGTCTCGAGTGCGCGCGCGCACGCTCTCCCCGGCCTCGCTCGGGGTTGGCTGCCGCAGGACTCGGGCTGGGAGCTGCGCCCTCGAGAGCGCATTTTTTTCCCCTCCCTCCCCCTCCCGGTGTTTTAGTTCCCCGGCTTCCTCCCGCCGGCTGCCGTTTGTTTGGTTTTTTTTTTAAAACAACTTTATTGTTCCCTCCCGGGTGGCAGCCCCCGCCTCCTGCGCTGTGCGCGTCCTCAGGATGCACTGAGGCTGCAGGGAGGCGGTGGCGGCTGCGGGTCCCGGTCCCCGGTCCCCGGTCCCTCGCCCTCTCCTCCGACTGCCCAGCCCGGGGAGGGGGGAGTCACGATGTCCGGCAGCCGCCAGGCTGGCCCCGGCGCTGCTGGGACAGGGCCCGGCTCCTCCGCGGCCTCCTCAGTCACTTCCGCCTCGTCGTCCTCGTCGTCGTCGTCGCCGTCGCCCCCGTCCCTAACGGCGGTGGTGGCCGCTGCGGGGTCCAGCGGGGCCACCGGCTCCGGGGGCCTCGGGGCCACCGTGCGGCCTCTGCTGGTGGCCGCCGCCGTGTCGGGCTCGGGCGGCGGAGGAGGCGGGGGCGGGGGCGGTGGGGCGCTGGCCGCGGGCCTCTCCCGGCTCGGGGGCTCGAGCAGGCCCGGGAGCGCCGTCAACGGCGGCGGCGGGGGCAGCTCGGGCAGCGGCAGCAGGAAGCGGCCTCTGCTCACCCCGCTCTGCAATGGGCTCATCAACTCGTACGAGGACAAAAGCAACGACTTCGTCTGGTGGGTGGAGAAGCATCCCTCCTCCCCATCCGTCCAGCCCCCTCCCCTTCTGCTGGGTGGGATGTGCGGGGAGAGGGGAGGTCTCGGATGGTAGCAGGTGATGGAGGGCGATGGCAGTGTGTGCTCGAGGCTGAAGCTTTGGAGCAGATGGGCGGCGGGTGGGTGTCTGGGGGGCTTCCACGGGAGGCGGTCCTGGTGGATGGGGGGGGTTACATCGAGCAGGAGACGGGGGCGGGGGAGTGCAGAATCGGGGTTAAGAGGAAGGAGTTAGGAAGGCACAGCTCTGAGTTCAGCGAGCGCCGGGCGCAGGAACGCCAGTACTTGTTGAATGGAATTGAAGTGCAGGAGGTATCGTTGGTGGAGTTGTTGAGAGTGAGAATGGAGGCCCTTGGGATGCCGAATGAATTCCTTGGGCATATTCAAGTTTATCGAGGGGATGGTCAATAAAGAGCATGCTTTGGGATTGCTATAAGTGAAACGATATTGAGTGCCATTAGACTGTGAACTTTCTGAAAGTAGATTGTTTTTTGCTTGACAGCAATGCCCAGAACATAGGCGATGCTTAATGAATGGTAGCTGATAGACTGATTACCTGCAAATGTGCTAAGCATTGTTTAAAATAAACACAAATGTACATGATATCTCACTACTCAGTGTTAGCTCATATTCATAGTCTGTGTACAGTGAAACCTGCTAGTGAGACTATTAGTGTATTTGAAGTCAATGAGAAGCTATCCTTTTATGTCTTAAGCAGGTTTCATTGTACCACATATATTGTACGTTGTGTTAAACATAATTTGTAGCACTTCAAGGTTTATCATAACATGTGTTTATTAAGCATCTACCATGTGCCAGGGTCTGTGCTAAGCATTGGAGGTGAAGTATAATATAAAACTGAAAAACTGTTACTGTCCTCATGGAACTTATGTTCTAATAGGGGGGATGTACACATGCTTATATGCAAGTAGGTACAAAACAAACTGAAAGTAGTTTTTGTAGGGAGGGAACTAGCCACCAGGGAGAATCAGGAAAGGCATAAAGAAAATGATAGTAAGCTGAGTCTTAAAGGATTCCAGGTATTTCAAGAGATGGAAGTAAGGAGGGAGTGCATTGCAAGCATTGGGGACAGCCATTGCAAAGGCACAGATGGAAGATGGAGCATCATTATGTGTGAGGAGCAGCAAATAGGCCAGCATGAGTTCTTAAGAAGACTGGGAAGGTAGGAAGGATCACACCAAAACCTTTTGAGTTAGGTAGTGTAAGGAGTACGTTACCATTGAGTTAGGTTGTGTAAGGAGTACTGTTACTATTTTGTACATGAGGGAACTGAGGCTCAGATGAGTGAAATGACTTACCCAATGTCAAACAGTCAGTAAACGTGAGAACTGTGATATGAATCCAGCTTCTGACTCCAATCCAGTGTGGCGTGAGGCAGCTGTTGGCACAGGGGGTAGAGGGCTGGGCCTAGAGTTGGGAAGCCCTAAGTTCAAATCCAGCCTCAGATACTAGCTGTGTGACCCTGGGCAAGTCACTTAACCTGTTTGCCTCAAGTTTCCTCAGCTGTAAAATGGAGATAATAACAGCACCTACCTCTCAGGTACCTACCTCAGTCCTGTCAGTACTGTTGTGAGGATCAAATGAGATAATATTTGTAAAAAGTACTTAGGATAATGATAGGCATATCATAGCTTCTTTGTAAGTGCTTATTCCTCTCCCTGTCCCCTGTATGTAGGTTACTAGAGGTTGGATGGTTGTGATACAAATTGTCTGTGGCAACTAGTAGCCATATGTGTGTTTGTGTGTGTGCATACATACATAGATACACATATACACATACACACACACACACACATATATTTTGGTGTGGAGTAGTTGGGCTCCACCCCAAAGAAAGATGATTGTTACATTAGGAGCAGTTAGAATTTGGGATTATCTTCAGTGGGTAGAGTTTTGGTAGAATGATAACTAAAGTTGTCTAGATTGATGACTGTAGTGGAATTTGGAAGTTGATGTTAATGACTTACAGTTGTATAATCACATATATAAGGATGATCCTTTTACAGATGCAGATTGCAGTCATTTGTATCTTAGTAGACCACCTTCATGAGTTGCTGTAGCTGACAATAATAATAATAACCAGTCTTCTGGGGATGAGCCTCCTGATTTAGACAGGCTGGTCTTTTGTCTCCAGATTGGTAGTTGAAGCATTTACAACTTAGTAGGACTTGTCAAAGCTTGTTCTTCATTAGCCTAACCTTCAAAAACCCAGGGTCACCTCCATACCATGAAAAGTTGGATAGAGGAGGAAGCAAAGGAGGGAGCTGAAATTCAGGTGGGCGAAGTGATATGGTAAATGTCACATGACTAGTTAGCTTTGGAGGTGAGACATGACTCCATCTTTCCTTCAACATTTATTAAGCATCTTTTGTGTGCCAGGTACTGTAGGCCCTTGGTAGTACAAAGTGAAAAAATGAAACAACCTTTAGAGGACTAAGGGCTTGGAGAGAGTGATACAAAGTTTTAAATAAGATACTGTCTCTCTCCTTATGGAATTTACAACCCAATCCTGCAAGCATTTATTAAGTGTCTATTTTGTGCAAGGAGCTGGGGATACATAGATAAAATGAAAAATGAGATAAGACACAGACACAGCAGCTTTTGACACTATTGATCACTCTTTCCTCCTTGATACTCTCTCTTCTCTAGGTTTTCAAGGTACCCCTCTCTCCTGGTTCTTCTTCTGTCTGACCACTTCTCAGTGTCATTTGTTGGATCCTCCAGATCATGTCCTCTAACTATAGGCATCCCTCACAGTGCTCTCTTGGGCCCTCTTGTCTTTTCCCTCTATACTACTTTACTTGGTGATCTTTTTTCTTTAATTTATTTTGAATTATCAACAATCACTTCCATTAGCTTTTGAGTTTTAAATTTTTCTCCCCCTCCCTCCTCACCTGCCTCCCCAAGGCTATACTTATACATTCCTATTAAACATTTTCACATTAGTTATGTTGTAAGTAAGAATTAGAACCAATAGGAGGAACCACCAGAAAGAGGAAACAAAACACAACAGAAGAAAAAAGAATAGCAAATAGTATGCTTCGATCTGCATTCAAACTCCATAGTTCTTTCTTTGGATGTGGATAGCATTTTCCATCCTGAGGCCTTTAGAGATGTCTTAGATCCTTGTATTGCTGAGAAAGGTTAAATCTATCAATATTAGTTATCGCACACCATGGCTGTTACTGTGTACAACGTTCTCCTGGTTCTGCTCACTTCACTCAGCATCAGACCATAGCAGTCCTTCTAGGTTTTTCTGAAGTCGGCCTGCTCATCATTTCTTATAGCAGAATAGTATTCCATTACATTCATATACCACAACTTGTTCAACCATTCCCCAATTGAATGGATATCCTCTCAATTTCCAGTTCTTTGCCACCACAAAAAGAGCTGCTATAAATATTTTTGTACTTGTGGGTCCTTTTTCTATTTGTATGATCTCTTGGGGATATAGCCCTAGAAGTGCTATTGCTGGGTCAAAGGGTATGCACATGTTTATAGCCCTTTGAACTTAGTTCTAAATTGTTCTCCAGAATGGTTGGATCATTTCACAACTCCACCAACAATGCATTAGTGTTCCAATTTTCCCACATCTTCTCCAACATTTATCATTGTTCTGTTTTGTCATGTTGGCCAATCTGATAGGTGTGATGTGGTACCTCAGAGTTGTTTTGATTTGCATTTCTCTAATCAATATTTACTTGGTGATTTAATTAGCTTCCAAGGATTTAATTACCATTTTTGTGCTGATGACTCTGCCATGTACTTATTTTGCCCCAACCTTTCTGCTAATCTCCAGTTTCCCGTCTCCAAATGCCTTTTGGACATCTTGAACTGGATGTCCTGTAAACACCTTAAACCCAATATATCTAAAACAGAACTCATTGTCTTTCTCTCTAATACTCCCCTCCCACTTGCCTCCCATCTTCCTTCTTCCTAGTCCCTCAGACTCAAAACCTAGGAGTCACCTGGGCTCCTAATTCTCTCTTCCAACCCATTCTCCACCCCCACCCCCCTTCCCCTCTGCAGTATCCAATCCCTTGCCAAGGCCTGTTCATTTCACCTTTGCAACATCTTTTCAATACACCCCCTTCTCTTCTTTGACACTGACACCATCCCTAATTGCCTTATGCTTGGATTATTGCAGTAGCCTGCTGGTGGTCTGCTTGCCTCTAGTCACCCCCCACTCCAGTCCATCTTCCATTCAATCACCAAACTAATTTTCCTAAAGCTCAAGTCCAACCACAGTCACCCCATTGTTCAGTAAATTCCAGTGGCTCCCTGGTTGCCTCCAGGATCAAAAACAAAATGCTCTGTTTGGCATTGAAAGCCTTATAGCCTAGCCCCTTCCTGCCTTTCCAGTTTTCTTACACTTTACTGCCCATGTGTACTCTTTGATCCAATGACACTGGGCTCTTGGCTGTTCCATGAACAAGACACTACATCTCTGGGCTCTGGATTTTTTCTCTGAATATCCCCCCATGCCTAGAATTCTCTCCCTTCTCTGCATTGATGACTGACCTCCCTGGCTTTCTTTAAGGCCCATCTAAAATCACATGTTTTATTGGAAGTCTTCCTCATCCCTTTTCAATTCTTATTGCTTTCCCCTCTGTTAAGTATTTCTTATTTATCCTGTACATAGCTTGCTTTGTGTATATTTGTGTCCTCCATTATATTGTAAGCTCCTTGAGAACAGGGATTGTCTTTTGCTTCTTTTTATATCCCAGTGCTTAGCACAGTGCCTAGCAAATAGCAGGTGCTTTATGAGTGTTTATTGATTGATTGAAGTGCATTACAGAGTTGCAAATCAAAGTCATTTCATGTCTTATGTGACTAATAGAGTTTGGGAAAGGAGAGGGAGTCAGGGAGAACACTGCAGGTCTCTTAACTCATTGAATCATAGTATTAGAGCAAAAGGGACCCTGGAGATAATGATAGCTGAT